GAACTCCATACACATGTATAGAAGTTATAAATCGTGGCAAATTTCAACGCGATGCATTACAATGTTTTCTGAGTTCTGAACCGTATTTGCAAAAAAAAAAAAAAAAAAAAAGTTTGAGCGGTACCCTTCACATTAGAAAAACAAACTGCAGGCAAGCTTCACACGTAAACCATGTCTTCATACCAGAGGAAGTAACCCATTGAAATGCAGGTTAAGCTCTATTTTCTTCTGTTAAAGCTAACACGCGGTACAATCACATGGATATGAAGATCAGTAATGCCTGTTCTATATACGTCAATAGTCAGTGAACAAGTTATGGCTACGTCAACAAGTGCACAATAACGATTAGTAGATAGTGTTAAGTATTATGAGAAGCTAACGATAATTGAAAACTTGATGTTGATAATAAATACAGTACAGTATTTCCTCTTGAGGTTTTCCTTGTGAGTTGAGACAGTGTTCCTGGGTCAGTGTAGACGCGCGAGGCACCTCACTCATGTCTGCTTTCCTCTCCCGCCAGTTATCACCGGTGCGTCGGGTGGTAGTGGTGGTGGCTGTGTCTGTGTGTTGGTTGATGGGTTATTACTACCTTGGCGGCAGAGGAGGCACGCGCTCTGCGACACCCCTCCAGGATATACCCATTCACACGATTGATACACCTACAGACACTTGTCAATCGCTGTTTACCATCAGTGACGTCCCCCACTATCACTGGTACCTCGGTGTCAACGACTCACAAGATTTTATTAACAGCATAATGTACAGCCAAGGTGATCCTGGTGGTGGTGGGTCTGGTGTGAAGGACGCCGATGTGAGGTTGCTTAGGGAGCGAGTGCAGCACTTGGTGAAGAGGAAGACGTCCCCGGCTGGAGCTTCCACCCGCGACTATTATTCTCTGGCTGAACTTCTCCCTAAGCTGTTGTTCCTCGGTGACAGCGAAGCCTGCGAAAGTATAACTGAGAGTAAGGAGAAAATCCAACCGATAGAAAATCGAAATAAACAGCTGAGGAAACATGCAAAGAAAAAACAACCTCCATTCTTCACCAAGAGAAGCAGAATCATTGCTAGTGGAGGCGTCTTGCCATATGTCCCCTGTTTGATCCACCCCTACGGTAACCTAACCTCCTTCACCGTCTGTGTCAGGAAGAGGCTACAGCGGAGGTCACATCTGTGGATCCACTTCATGGGGGATTCCAAGATCAGGCAGGTGTTTGACAGCATCCTCAACCGCACCGACCCCTTTTATCACTACACGATCAACTACGTGGTGAGTAACTTACTAGATTGGTGATATGCCTTGTAGTGCTCTCTCTCTCTCTCTCTCTCTTTTACATCCACCAGATAAACGTACATACTCGTTTAACGGAATAATGGGCTAGACAAAATCTGAAAATGCCTTAACACTCACTGGGGGTTACTTTGAAATTGCAGTTTGGCTGCTCTCAATCTGGAAAATTAAAATATGGATGCATATCACAAAAAGAATCTTACGAAAGAAAGAGAGAGAGAGAAAGACAGGAAAGAAGGGAGAAAATAACATCTAAATAAAGAACAAGCCTCAGGATATGTCATGTCACACCTGATAATTCGCGAGTTTTTCGGCCCGCCAAATTGTTGTTGGTTCCAGAGAACTCTTGCAGGGTGTGAGCGAGCCATGGTCAGTGCTGGTAGAGAAACGCAACCATCGGGACATCCGCTACCGGGACATGTCGGCCACCACCAGCCTGGAGCCTGGCTTGAACATCACCTACAGGTAAGTCAGTCACAGTCAGCGTGATTGCAAAATCCTGAGGAGGGGCTACGAGGCACATGACTGCAGTTATGGTCTTTGTGTTTGATGAGTTAATGTTTATTGATAAGACTTCAAACCATATATAAATTAATTACGTATACTTAATTTTATGTTTTCTCACCATACGTATTAACATATAACCCGTGTGATGATTAAGTGATCACCAGGTCACCCACGCTACCAACTTTTTAACTTTGTAAGCCATCCAAATAACTCTCTTTCGTCTCTATATTTTCGAATCTTCTCATTACAACCAGTACCATCACGATCACCATCCCCACCACCACCATTATCTCCTCCATCACCTCAACACTAGCACGTCAAAACCCTCTCGTTGTTGTGATAGTTTCAGAGAGTTTAGTGAACCTCGTCGCTCCTTGTACAGCGCAACACAGGAACTGATAGAGCTGAAGCAATGGGCGTTAGGCGACCTTCCTCCTCCTGACCTGCTGGTTTTAGGTGAGCTTCAGTGTCAGCTTCAGTTTCAGCGTCTTTGCCAGCTTCATTGCCAGCTTAACTGTCAGCTAGTGTTAGCTTAATTGTCAGCTAGTGTCATTAATCATATACTCTCCTCCACCAGGATATAGCTCCTGGATGATGCAGGTGGCGGAGCTGAAACTGAAAGACTCGCAGAACTTCCCACATGACGTGCTGGACCTGCTGTTGACTATGCACGAGGCGGTGGTGCCCTTACTGGACCAGGTGAGTCTCTCTCTCTCTTTCTTCATTTCATGTTAACTCTCGGTGTGTTTGTCTCTCACATAACACCTTCATAACACCATTACAGTATTTTTGCCTAAAGTTCTTTCTTTTTTACAACAAGATCTCACGGTGGTCGAGGGTGTTGGTGTTGTCCCAGAGCCGTCTACGACCACACTCCCGTATGGAACCCAACCTTAAGGGGGCGTACAGCCCTTCTAACTTCGACTGGGGAGAGATGGCCTTCCTAGAGGTGCTGCGTCATTATAGGGCCACACGAGGCTCGCCACGCTGGCCACACACCCTTGCTTGGCCTCCATACCGAGAGGAACAGCAGGTGGATAATACAGATCAAGTCACCAAGACCTCAAACGACCCCCAGAGACTTTATTACCCCAGAAACCTGACGACTACAACCCCGGACAACCCATATAACCATAGAGATCTGACCACCATGACTCAGGACGACCTCCATAACCCCAGCGACTCGACCATGACGACCTTAGACCACCAGAAAAGACCACATAACGCTAAAGACCTGACCACCACGACCCCAGACAACCCCCAGAGTATCCCGAAGGACTATCTCACACCCAGCGATATTACTCCAGGTCTCTGGTGGTGGGACTCGAGCCTTCCTCTCAACCTGGCGGGGATCTTGGAGTGTGAGGACCTGTACCGCCTCAATCTCACCTCACACCCCATCTACACTGACCTTCTACTGCACTGTATGGACGGGCATCACCCAGGCACCCTCACAGTGAATGATATGGTCACCATGTTGTTTAATTTAATGTGTAATTCAGTCTTAGGGCTGGACAATGGTAAGTATTGTTGTGGTTAGTGGGTGTCTTTTTATTAGTTTGCCACGTAGTAGCTAGTTTACCGTGCACACCATGTTCATCGTGTGTGTGTGTACAGTAACGCCAAAAGCGACAGGTACACAAACATCCTACGACCTACACCAAAGTGATACATATACAGTAATTATACAGTAAATATGTGATTAAAGTATTCAAATTAAGGATGTTTTCTCAGAGTTCTAGGTAAGGCATCTTTGTTAACATAAGAACATAAGAATGGAGGAAACTGCAGCGGGCCTGCAGTGTTGGCCCATACTGGTCAGTCCCATTTTAAACGGGACTGCCCAGTATGGGCCAACAGGCCCGCTGCAGTTTCCTCCATTCTTATGTTCTTATGTAACTAACATTCCTTTGTATGAACCCAAGTACTTTATTAGCCTTGACATTGTATACCTGTATTGTCTATTGCGGAGGCCACGTCAGATTTAATTACACGCCCAATTTTAGTGTCATCAGCTGGGGACCTGGAGGAGGAGGTCATAGGGCAAGTGAGGATGTGAGATTCGGGTTGACCACAAAGTTTACAAATAGTAGATGAGGTCAGGGCAAACAGGCATGACTGTGTGACCTTGACTTGACCCTTCAGTTGACGCACACGCTTGGATGACCTGAGTTTAAGTTAGGTTAGGTGGAATGATCTCGAGTGGAGAATTTTTAGGTTATTATTATTATTATTCGCTTTACTGTATTGGTGTTTCTGTTGTAGTAATATGTCTTAGAACAAACTAATGATAACGTTCATTCCTGGACACAGTGAAGTAGTTTGACTTTACATAAAAAAAATTAACACAATGTACAGTATTTCTATTTATCTATCTACTGTTTACACCAGGTGAGTCATAACAGTCGACCGTCATACATGCAGACGCTGTTATTGTTGTATTGTTATATATAGGTATTTTGGCCGCCGTAGTAATTATACTACACCGTTCACGAGTGTATAAAGAGAATAAAAATCTGTTGAACTTAGGCTACGTCAGAGTAAATTGTGGTAGCAAAAGTCACAAATGTGTAACTCTATCATATTGTTGCCAGTATATTTACATTGTTATGCCAAATTCGTATACAATTGACTCGGGTATAAATCATAAAGTGAATTAGTCTTTTAGAATATATATATATATGTATATATTAACATTTTGTAGTATTTTATCAGAATTCTTCAATAAAAAATATTTAATAAAAATAGAGAGTTGTCGTTTTTATTAGTGCCTAGTTTTGATATAGGTTAGCGATTTTTCACCTGAGTATGAATGCACTATGAAAAATACATGGATTTAAAGAAATTCTATATAGTTTATGAAATAATTTAAAAAGATAAAAATACCAAATATTTAGTTGTTAGTAGTTTAAACGATAATGATATACTACCAACATCGCACATCGTGGCAGACAGACGGGGGGGGGGGGCGGTAACCTTGAAGGAGTATGACAGTTGATGGCAGTTTTAACCTTTATTTACCTATATACCTCCTGTCACACTTACCCACAGTAACGACAATAGCATCAATGAACAACCCGATATACATAACCTTTAATACCTCGCTAGGAACTCGTAATAAGCGTTAAAACAACCTACGGGTTATATCATATCCGTTATATTCAAACCAGAGGTATACCTTTACCCCTCTCACCGTCACTTCCCAGTACACGTACAACTATTGGCGTGGCAGTGTCGTTCCTGGTGTACTTCCCTGTGATTTTTTGTTTGGTTTTTCAAGTGAATATTACAAGCGAGAAGTGTAAATAACGGAATTAGTGGTGTTGAATGTGAAGTCTTCCCATGGCATAGCGGGGATAAGTTATTTATAATTGTTATTAAGGATGTTCAGTTAAATGATCTATTACTCTTAGTAAGGACGTTATTTATTGTTATTTACTATTAACTGACACTATTGGTGTTCTTAAAAATCTTTACTTATCGCTTTTGTTTATCGTCATTGATTATTATCTAACCATTCAATGCTATTCATGATTCAACGATCATTCAATCCGTTTATTACTAGTTATTTATCGTCATTTGATATCAATTTACTATCTCTTGTAATTGTTATTGATGTTATTTATTGTTAATTACTAATTATCGATATGGATTTATTCTATTCCAATACAGTACAAATCGTAATTAGTAAAACACTAAGGAAAAGAGACCAATGAGGAATTAATAATAAGGAAAATAACAAAGAAAAATAATGATAACATGGCAAGTAACAAAAAACAACAATGATAACAAAGAAAAATAAATAATATTAAAAATAACAATAACAAGGAAAATTATAAAGAAAATAACATTACCAAAGAAAACTAAAAGCATTAACAAAAGAAAAAAAAGCAATAAATCGCAAAGACAAATAACAAGGCAAACAACATTGACAATAACAAAACAACAACAATAACGAGGAAAACAATATCAACGAGACATTAGCGAAGACTTATCGCCAGACAAATTCCAAACAGGACATTGGTAAGTTTATACATTTTAACAGCGTAGATATATTAACAATTAATAAAGATAAAGTTACCTAATTTATATGTTAATTTCCCATCCCTGGTTATTTATTCGTTCAAATATTCTTTGTTATATATATATATATATATATATATATATATATATATATATATATATATATATATATATATATATATATATATATATATATATATATATATATATATATATATATATATATATATATACTGGTAATTATATATGTGTAGATCTATAATTATGTGTTATTTAGTGTGGATGATAGTTGTGTCGTGTTATGGTGATAGTGGTGTAGTGTGGGAGATGATAATGATGTAGTGTTATGGTGATAGTGGTGAAGTGTAGGATAGATGATTAGTGGGTCTCATATTTTTGACCTGACCTAACATGACTAGTTACGTCGCCCTTTTTTCTAAGCTCCTCCTGTTTGCGGTTGTGTTGGTGTGTGGACTAGTGGATGTCATGTTTTGGAACAGACCTCATGTTTTGTAAGGTCACTTGTGTACATAAGCCTCTCTCAGTCCCTGTAATTCAGTTGCCTCTGAAGAGAAAGGTAAGGTGCTCCATTGTTTCCCCTTTTCCTGTGTGATTTTACCAAGACTGTTATAATTATGACACCACTTGTGCATTCTGTGTTTCATGATTACATGTGAATATTTACAACTCTGTAATTGGGTGTGGTTTATTATTGTACACACGCTGAACCAGTGTGAACTTGAAATACGTTTTTACTGAAGAAATATTTATGTGAACAGTTTAAACCATTATCAGGTACGTGTTGCAGGCTTGTTATCTGGAATCATCATGGAGGTGGAGAAGACTGTGGCCGAGGTGCACTACACTGTGAAGATCCCCCAGCTGTCTACCTACAAGGAGTTGAGTCACACCTTCACTACGGACTTCCCGCTTTCATTGAACGGTCTCCGTACCCTCTGGCGACTAACTGTGACTCCTTTCCTCAGAGAAAACGGCTGTGGTAGCGACGACCCAATAAATCGCAACATTGGTATATCTCTTGAATGTTTAAAATGCAACATCAATCGTCCTGGTATTGAGGTGTTTTGTAGTGTGTCGGGCCGAGACGAGCATGAGAAGCAGCTCACTCAGAGCAATGATGGACTAATGTGGGAGGGGATTTTGGTTCCCAGATTAGCGCTTCGTATCTTCAAGCTTCTGGACGACGATCAGCTGACAGCCAACCTGCGCTTCCTGGTGCCTGGGACAGATCTTTCGAGAGCAGTGGATTCCCTGAAAAACCTGAGTTGTCAAATGAAGGAAGTATATAAGAGTGGGCGGTATTGCGACGTGGAGGTCATCACCAGTGACGGGGTGAGGCTCCCTGCCCATCGCGCTGTACTACGCACACGTTCCAACCTCCTGAAGGAGGCTAAATCTGGTAAGAGGTTTTGTGAGACCGACAGTACAGCTAATACGCCTCTGCCAGAGCCGGACACGCCCAGAGTTGAGTGTCACCTGACTAGACCCGAGACCCCAATCAACAGCACATTTGGCAGTATATCTTCAGGGTACCAGTCCGTCGCCTCCCTGTCTCCAGACTCCTCCGACAGCAACACCTGTAGGAATATGGCGTCGCCCTGTCTAGGACACAAGTCACCCATGAAAGCATCACGCACTCCGGCGGGCACACCATCCAAGGTGACCTTCGCTCCACACACCACCACCGCCTCCCCTGTAAAGTGTTCTTATACATTTTCTGAACGGGTCTTCAGTCCTAGCCGAGCTACCCAAAGCAAACGTCTCTTGGCTTCCAGCACAACGTCTCCTAGCAAACGAACGAACGCCCCCAGCAACTCCCCCATGAAGCGTGCCTACACCCCAAAGGAAGTGGTAACTAGGAGACTGAACCAACTGCACACCCAAGATACCAAGAACGACCTTCACTGTCACGAGAATTGTCCCTCGCCTAAGTGCAGCAACACACCCAGGAGCCCACTGAAGGAAGTTAACAACACGCGTGTAGACGGCGCCGCTGAGTTAACTGTGAGAGTTAACATGTCGGCCTCCGTCACCCAACACCTACTGGAGTGGATCTACACGGGTTAGTAAAACAGTTTATTGCAGGTTCTTAAATAATGTAATGTCTTCCATCTCACAGCTGGACAATAACGACACCTTTAGCTACTTCTCCATTCTTGAAAGTTTGGACCAAATTAACAAAGGTTCATACGATCTTTGTTTCTCGTAACTGAAGATGTAAGACGTATAGTTGGTTGACTTGAGATAAAAAACTTATGTCCACAAATAACATTCAGAATTCTACTGATAGAGTAACTAACTTAACTAGAAGCACAAGGATGTTGAGAATCATTAAAGGTTCCATCCCTTGATTCCTAACTGGTATTAAATGGAATTGCTGTAGTTAAGGTAGAGTCTTAGTAGAATTAGATTGTCAAAATCAAAAGTTCGCCGAAAATCTCCAGCCAGTATTATGTTGCTAGTCATAACACAGGTGGCGCTCTTTCCACCAACGCGTCGTATTGTGACTGGACTGAAGGTCAACAGTTGGTGGAAGTGTTATCTGCTGCCTGGGGATTCTCGGCAAAGTTTATTTTGAATATAGTGTACAGTATACTTACCGTGCCTTATGTACTGAATCCCTGGACGAAGAATTTGAGTAAAGTGACCGAAACTTCGAGGTTTCAGAACATTGGCATGGTAAGTGTAATGCGACTTTTTACTTTGACTACAGTATATTGTTACATCTTCACTTACCATGAACCCTTTTCATCGTACGAAACTTTGAGGATCAAGACCCAGATATATTGTGTTGCTCAACTAATCTGAAGGTTATGGTGAACTAGTTAAAAATTTGTCTTCAAAATACGTTTTAATTAATTCACATCAATAATTTGATGACTATATATGTATAACTAATGAAATCTCATAACCTTGGCAGGATACATTGAGTGACTGTTGGAGATAACAGTATGAGTGGGAGCATCGGGTCCTACTTGATGCGGTGACATGAACATTCTCGCTTGCTGACAAGATTTACTACAACGATTTGTCCCTTTTTCTAATATTTCTCTCTTTATCTGTTAATACAGGAGAGTGTAGAGACCTGGGAGGAGTGGCAAGACCGCTGATGGTGGCAGGTCTACGTCACGGCGTACTCGACCTGGCCAGGGCCTGTGAGGAGCACCTAGCTGCTGCCCTCACGCCCAACACAGCCCCCGAGCTGCTCCGGCTGGCGGACAAATATGGTGCCGCCACGCTGCGAGAGGCCACCCTTCAGTACGCCCTCACCCATGTGCGTCCCTCTGTGAAATTATCATTACTTGGCACGACAACAAAACAACAGTCCAGATAAATACATTAAACTGGAATATGACGCAGACATTATCTGGAGAAGCATTACCATACACAACCACCATACCTTACTACACTACACTGCTACTGTACCACCATACCTTACTACACTACACTCACTGTACCACCATACTTTACTACACTACACTCACTGTACCACCATACTTTACTACACCATACTATCCAACTTACGTGCCCTATCCTAAGTCATCCCAACCTAACCTAACCTTACATTACATTAATGGTCGTTATTGGTCTAAAAAAAATACTTTCAATCTTGCACTCGAAATGACCTGTGTACGAAACGAGTATTTAACTGGCATGTGTTTCTAAGAATAAGTAGTGCCCACCAGGTGTTGAGTTTCTCACACAGGCTCCAATAATATTAACATTCTCTATCCTCAGGCAGCGGAAGTGACGGCCCAGCCTTCGTGGGCGTGTGTGGCCTCCCACGCGCCTACACTTATACTTGAGTTCTCGCGCCGTCTCGCCCTCCACACCTACGTCAAGAACTAACACCATGCCCACACCAAGGACCTCACGCCCACGCCAAGAACTAACACCACACCCACACCAAGGACCTCACGCCAAGAACTAACACCGCACTCACACCAAGGACCTCACGCCCACGCCAAGAACTAACACCAAGCCCGCACTAAGATTTCACAATCGAAATGTGACGTGCCTGGTACTGTCTGGCAGCTTGGCTTGTCTTACTGTTCAGATGAGTCCCTGTCTTGATGAGGCCTTAGGGTACAGTAGAACTTGGGCCTATTAGGACATTGCCCTATTATAATTGGGGTCTATTATGAATGAGACCCATTAGAACTGTTCTGGTACTAATTCATACATACACTCCTAAACACACATGCATATCTTCCCACACACAAAGGCAAACATACGTATAAATGTAAGTACACATACACACACATTGTCAAATTTCACTCGTTTTTAGTCTTTCCTTGAGTAACTTTAAGTATATTTTCTTTTCATAGGATATATTATAACTTAAGACAAGGTCATTATATTATTACTAAGGCCCTTACTATTAATTCAGGAAGAGTATAAAATGTTTCACTATTACATAACCATATTATAGAATCACCCAATAAATGAAAGTTGAGGGAAGAGTTGTTTCATCTTAACCTCAGAGGGATGATGGTTGGCCTGAAGGAGCCATTGAACGAGAGAATTGGGTTTGTTGATAACTAGATATTTAGCTAGATTGTAAAGATACATACATTCGTTATTTCAAACATGAGCACGTAAGAAGTTTATCAGAAGTATTATGCACGATTAACTGTTAAACTGGTAAAAAATTTACGCTTACGGAGGACGCATTTAATATATAAAGTACTTATTTTTATCCTCAATAAGTAGCATACTAAGACAAATTACGTATCATTAATACTACATTATGCAAAAACTAAAATTCTAAAATATCAGAATCACATTGAAATATTACACGGCCCTTTAGCAGAGGCTGAAAATAGAAGTTGTTCGCAGTCATATTTCCTGCCTCTTCTGACAACCGTGTAATATTTCAATGTGGTTATGATCTTTTTAAGTGTTAGTTTTTGCATCATGTAGTAAGACTAATACGTAATTTGCCTTAGTATGCCTCATTGTGGGTAAAAATAAGTATATATTAAATGCGTCCTCCGAAAGCGTGCATTTGCTACCAGAGTTTAACAGTTAATTCATGTATGATACTTCTGATAAACTTCCTACGTGCTCATGCTTGCTATAATGAATGTATGCATATTTATATAATTTAACTAAATATCTTTCTCGTCAGAAATGGTCATCCCAACGATTATGAATAAACTCATTTAGAAATACATAATAACTTCAAGACGAAATCGGACAGAGAGGCAAGAGCCAATCAGCTGTAACTCTTGAGGAGGGGGCGGGGCATATCTCAGCTGGGAAACAATGCCCTAGCCAGTAACTACTATACTTGTAGTGCCTCACCTGCCGTCTCAAGGAACTGAACGGTGGTCATTGTTGAAATAATACAAGCGTATTCGAGTCAGCGTGGCGCATTGTGACTGTTTGACGTCAGTTGGTAAGTGTAAAATGTTAACAGTTCCTCCATAACCTTACCATTTTGTTATTATGGCCAGTTTAAGAATACTCAATGAATAACTAATGTAGACTGTAATAAACACAACTGTCTTTTAAAACTACAGGGTAATTGTAGAATCACCAGTTACCATAAATCTTCCACGCTCTGTTGAACTGAGTGAACAATTCAACACATTAATCAAGATAGGGTACAACAGAAGTATACCCACCGACGTTCAGCAATAATGGAAGTTTAAGAGAAGGTAAATGTTGGCAGAGTGTCGACTGTGTGGTGTCTGTCTGACGGTCAGTTTATCCACATGCGAATTACTAAAACAAAACAGCGTCAGTGTACACAACAAAAAACTGATGCCATTAAATAATTCTTTTACCCAAACAAACCCCACAACTACCTACTTATATTGGAAAAAATAGATACAAATATAATAAGACATGAACCAACAGAAATACTTGTTAAAATTGCCACTCCAATTATACAATCCAGTGTCCATATCGTATAATATAGGATAGTTATAATAGTCTATATGCTAAGAATCTTATTTTAAGGGATAGGATATTGACTAAGTAATGACATGAGAGGTTTTCATGTAGTGGGAGAAGGAAGGAAGGAGGGAAGCTCATTTAAATAGCGTAAAGATGTCGACGGTGTGTCTACGTCTTCACCAGCACTAGCTATGTTGTAAATGAATATTATTTGGTCTGTATCCTTCAGCCTGGAGTTTGAGGAACCGTCATAGGTGGTGTACTGGTGGTGGTAGTGTAGTGGTAGTAGAGAACTGAGGGGAACTCGGTAGTGTCGTGGACGGGTTGGTCGAGAGATGACGAGTGTAAAGGATTTTTTAGTTCTGAAAATAATCCTGGAGACTGGTGACCTAAAATACCCCTTACTGAGGTGCTGTATGTAACCCCCCCCCTCCCTTCCCCCCTGTGCTATCTTTGTCTGCACTAGATAGATAGATAGATAGATATATAGATAGATGATACGTAAATAGATAGGTAGCTATAGAAACCCTCGTAGATCAATGTTTATTAAGTAAAAACGTCACTAGATAGATCACCATTATCAAAGGACAATATTATAAAGGGAATTTGTATAAGCTTATACAATCATTTATAGATGGCACATTCACCTTTTAACGTAATTATTGAATGTTCATTTTTATATTATCGTGTGGGATAGAACGTATTGAAACAGTTTGGATATATTGAACCTTTTGTCGGTCTGCTTGTCTATCTCTTTACTACTACTACTACTACGACTACTACTACTACTACTACAGATGGTCATTATTCTTACCGAAATACACTGTCACTTACTCAATACAGGCCAAGTCAGTGGTGGTGGCCTATTCCTGAAAGAGGCGACTCAGAGAACACTGTATGAATCTTATGTATTCTGTATACTGACCGACCCACTCAATATTGTATGTATATTGTGATTTTCTGTATACTGATTAACGCACAACACTGATTATATTCTGAGACATACACTAACCCTCGGTAAAGATTCATTAGTGTCTATTGAGGTAAATTAATAATGAAAATAGGGTTGTCTTATATTGTTCATAGTGATTTAAAGGAATATATGACCTTTAATAATGTTGGTGGGACAAAACTCTCTTTCTCTGACACCACCAACTCTCAACACCTCTCCCTAGGGCCTAGAGATACAGGTTGACGCCCTCTCCTTCCCTCTCCTTGTCATACAATTCCTCAGCCAGTTCGAACCATTAAGTATATTTCCTTGTTCTCATCACTTATGTAAAGGTGACGACTACTGCCTCCTCTGATACCTGCTCCTTCCCCGTTGCTGTGTTCTGTGTGTGTGTGTGTGTGTGTGTGTTTTTTTTTTTTGTATGGGTGGGTTTGGACTGATGGTATGTGAGTAAGGTAGATGATAAATTCACAGACAGGCGCGGCACGTCAGCACACAAGATCATGTTCAATGTACTGACAGACGTGGTAGGATTAGGCGTGGGTCGATGTAATTATTTAGCACGGGGGGGGGAAGCATAGCCACTTTTTCCGCTCAATATAGCCAGAATAACGACGGGTGGCGGTAGATGTAGCGGAAAGCAGCTATTGTTGGCGGACTCGTCAATAAATTCGTCTCTATCTCAGATTGTAAAAGGTGGCCCCTTCCTACAGATTGTCTTTATTATATTATGGGGAATACTTAAGTGTTGTTTAATAGTTTTTCTATACAGTATTTCTCACTGTTATTTGCTTACTTATTTGTTGTTGATATTGTTATATATACAGTATTATAGCGATGGTGATTGCCTAATGTACAACAACAACAACAACAACAACAATAATAATAATAAAAAAAAACTATTACTTCCTACTAATGATGATAACATAAGGTGGTATTAAATTTACTTTAATTGCTCATGTGACGGCACTTTAGTTAAATTAAAGGTGGTTCACTTGGTTCTTTACCTGTACTCATCCATCTCTTACTGGGGACCCATTATTGTTATTATATTAGTCAGGGGAAATGTAAAGAAATATCTGGCAAATTAAATATATTCAACAAAAGACGTGATCTGAAGTTATGTGTCTTAACCCTATTTCTAAGTAGATATACCGTGTGGGAGGGAATTCACCATACACCCGTACGACTACAGAGAAAACATTCCACAACCTTACCGCCCAGCCCAGTATGGTTGTCGTCAGCCCACTCAGATGTCACCCACACTACACCACACCCAACGCTAAACATTATGTATTAGCTGTAGGGAGCATATTCTGAGTGTCCAATCAGTCTTTTTTCACTGATTGGCTAGTTCACAATATGAGCGTAGTCACGTCAGTTCTATGGGCGGAGCTATTTTCATGGCTCTTGGTATAGGCAGGAATCTGGTTACTCCTGAGGGGATAACGAATGGTGATGAATTGGGGTAATTGTCACTTGTCAGTCACTGTAAACACACAGGAGCCCACAGGTCAATTTTCAAGTTCCTAACGGTTGGCTCTCGAGGCCTTAGGCGTGCGTGGGCGCCCCTTTTATTACATTAGGCTAGGTTAGGACAGTCATGTTAAGTGAGGTTAGATTAGGTAAGGTTTGGTTAGATTAGGTTTGGTTAGGTTAGGTAATACCTGAGCACACTTTATAACCAAGACATATTTTACTTATTAAAACATAGGTTTGACGTGACGCGTGGACGCTAAGATGTGTGTGTGGGTGTATGAGTGTGAGGTTGTGTATGTGTGTGTGTGAGTGACAGGAACATTACTCTATACATCTGTGTATTTAACGCTCTATAAACCAGCGGAGGAACACTTACTAGTAAGATGCAACTCACTGATGAAGAATATTGGGCCAGCGATACTGAGAAAAGTGTGTGTGTGTGTGTGTGTGTGTGTGTGTGTGTGTGCGCGCGCGCAGAAGTGAAATGAAGGGATGATAAAGAGACTAAGAAAAAAATGCAAATGAAGAAGACATAAATGGTAGACAACGATAACGCTGCCGAAAGAAGTGGGAAAATGTGTTGGAGATAAAAAGATGTTGATGAATAGGAAGAAGTCTAAGAGGAAGAGACGGTGAAGATAGAGGAGATAAAAGGAAAGCAGAATGAGATAAGGATAACGAGAAAAGTGAAAAACATGAAAACAAATACTAAACTTGTCGTACACTATAGCTGACACTGCAATCGACCACCTTCACTTCCTCAGCTGTAACGTCAAGTATCCATTCACAGTTAGGTGGACTGTGAGTAACCCCGGGCCTCGAACCAGCCACCTTTCTAGACAGGAGGAGATTGTTATATCCACTCTGCCGCCGTATCACAATGAGCATACCTGTAGAGCACTTTACATAACGTATAGCTCTTTCTGTGTCTTTATTACAGCTGAATATCATAGTAGTTTAGCTCATTAGTGTGACGTAACTGCCATTAGGAGTTTAATTGATGTTAACAGACCCAGTGAATGAATATCCTAAAAAAATTATAATAATTTTTTTTATCTTAAATGAAAATAAAAAGTTGACCTCGGCCACTTTAATACGGTCAGACACCGGCGAGCTCACTGATAAC